GGAAGGTTGATGATGACGATCGCGACGGATTCCCCTCTCCGGAGCCCCGAATGGACTCCAGATCAGTCCTCCCGAGAGAGTTTAGGGCTTGGCGGCTCCGTATCGTAAAACGTGATGAATCATTCTCTCTGATTTTTTCTCCCCGAACACGAATATATGGAGTTGGAGTTGAGGTCGGTGGAGCGTTAGGGGGGCCACAAGGCAGGGGGCGTGCCCCCCACCCTCGTGGACAGGGTGTGGCCCCCCTGGCGTGGATATTTTCGCCAGTATTTTTTATATATTCCAAAAATAATCTCCGTTGATTTTCAGGTCATTCCGAGAACTTTTATTTCTGCACAAAAATAACACCATGGTAATTCTGCTGAAAATAGTGTCAGTCCGGGTTAGTTCCATTCAAATCATGCAAGTTAGAGACCAAAACAAGGGCAAAAGTGTTTGGAAAAGTAGATACGATGGAGACGTATCAATATCTCATCACGTCTTGACCATATCACATCACAACATGCCCTGCAAAAACAAGTTAGGCGTCCTCTACTTTGTTGTTGCAAGTTTTACGTGGCAGCTACAGGCTGAGCAAGAACCGTTCTTACCTACGCATCAAAAACCACAACGCGGTATAGTGATTGCTTTTTGATCTTCAGAAAGAACCATGTTCATTGAATCCGATTCAACTAAAGCTGGAGAAACAGACACCCACTAGCCACCTGTGTGCGAAGCACGTCGGTAGAACCAGTCTCGCGTAGGCGTACACGTAATGTCGGTCTGGGCCGCTTCATCCAGCAATGCCGCTGAATCAAGAATCAACTAGTGACGGCAAGCAATATGTATATACCCATGCCCACAACTCCTTTGTGTTCTACCCGTGCATATAACATCTACTCATAAACCTGGCTCGGATGCCACTGTTGGGGAACGTAGTAATTTCAAAAAAATTCCTACGCACACGCAAGATCATGGTGATGCATAGCAACAAGAGGGGAGAGTGTCGTCCATGTACCCTCGTATATTGTAAGCGGAAGCATTATGAGAACGCGGTTGATGTAGTCGTACGTCTTCACGATCCGACCGATCCAAGTAACGAACATATGACACCTCCGAGTTCAGCACACGTTCAGCTCGATGACGTCCCACAAACTCCGATCTAGCAGAGCTTCGAGGGAGAGTTCCGTCAGCACGATGGCGTGATGACGGTGATGATGATGTTACCGACGCAGGGCTTCGCCTAAGCACCGCTACGAAATGATCGAGGTGGATTATGGTGGAGGGGGCACCGCACACGTCTAAAAGATCAACTGATCAACTTGTGTGTCCATGGGGTGCCCCCCTCCCCCGTATATAAAGGAGTGGAGGAGGGGGAGGGCCGGCCCTCCACTATGGCGCGCCCTGGGGAGTCCTACTCCCACCGGGAGTAGGATTCCCCCTCCCCCCTTCCATGTAGTAGGAGTAGGAGAGAAGGAAAGCAAAAAGAGAAGAGAAGGAAGGATGGGGCACTGCCTCTCCCCCTAGTCCAATTCGGACTAGGCCTTGGGGGCGTGCAGCCTCCCCTTTCTCTTTCCCCTAAAGCCCAATAAGGCCCATATACTCCCCGACGAATTCCCGTAGCTCTCCGGTACTCCGATAAATACCCGAACCACTTAGAACCTTTCCGATGTCCGGATATAGCCTTCCAATATATCGATCTTTACGTCTCGAACATTTCGAGACTTCTCTTCATGTCCCTGATCTCATCCGGGACTCCGAACAACCTTTGGTACATCAAAACACATAAACTCATAATACCAATCGTCATCGAACGTTAAGCATGCGGACCCTACGGGTTCGAGAACTATGTAGACATGACCGAGACTCATCTCCGGTCAATAACCAATAGCGGAACCTAGATGCTCATATTGGCTCCTACATATTCTACGAAGATCTTTATCGGTTAAATCGCATAACGGTATATGTTGCTCCCTTTGTCATCGATATGTTACTTGCCCAAGATTCGATCATCGGTATCTTAATACCTAGTTCAATCTCGTTACCGGCAAGTCTCTTTACTCGTTCCGTAATGCATCATCCCGCAACTAACTCATTAGTCACATTGCTTGCAAGGCTTATAGTGATGTGCATTACCGAGAGGGCCCCAGAGATACCTCTCTGACAATCGGAGTGACAAATCCTAATCTCGATCTATGCCAACTCAACAAGTACCACAGAGACACCTATAGAGCACCTTTATAATCACCCAGTTACGTTGTGACGTTTGGTAGCACACAAAGTGTTCCTCCGGTATTCGGGAGTTGCATAATCTCATAGTCAGAGGAACATGTATAAGTTATGAAGAAAGCAGTAGCAACAAACTAAACGATCATCGTGCTAAGCTAACGGAATGGGTCAAGTCAATCACATCATTCTCTAATGATGTGATCCCATTAATCAAATGACAACTCATGTCTATGGCTAGGAAACTTAACCATCTTTGATTCAACGAGCTAGTCAAGTAGAGGCATACTAGTGACACTTTGTTTGTCTATGTGTTCACACATGTACTAAGTTTCCGGTTAATACAATTCTAGCATGAATAATAAACTTTTATCATGATATAAGGAAATAAATAATAACTTCATTATTGCCTCTAGGGCATATTTTCTTCATTCGGATCGCGCGACAACAGGAGCAGGGCTAGCGCGCGAATCAGCGTCGGATCGCGCGCTGCTGCTGCCAGCTGAATCCGCCTCGTGTTCTGTGCCATTCCTGTCTTTTCCTACACACATTAAATGATGGCCCAATCCTACATATACATCAATAGAACCACTATTATCGATGGAATTTTGCACACATCCAGTTTTATTTAATTCACCCCCGTGATCTGAAAGGAGTGCTATTTCAGCACGAAGAAGGGCTCCGGCATTTGGATGAAGTTTGGCAAATGGAAAGACGGTTTCATCAAAAACAACATCTCGAGAAATATAGATCCGTCCAGTTGCAACTTCTAGACATTTGTATCCTTTATGAATATTGCTATAGCCAATAAACGCACATTGAGTGGAACGAAACTCAAGTTTATGGCGATTGTATGGACGTAGATTGGGATAGCAGGCACATCCAAATATTTTGAGAGAATTGTAGTCAGGTTTTTGATGATACAGACGCTCCAATGAAGTGGTGTTGCCAATAACTTTACTAGAAAGACGATTTATATGATAGGTGGCAGCAATGAATGCTTCATCCTAATACTTGAGAGGCATAGATGCATGAGCAAGAAGAGATAGACCAACTTCAACAATGTGGCGATGTTTCCGCTCAGCGGAGCCGTTTTGTTGGTGAGCATGAGGGCAAGATACATGATGTTCAGTACCTATGCTACGAAAAAAAGAGTTGATTTTTTCATACTCCCCGCCTCAATCACTTTGGACTGTTAAAAAATTTCGATCAAAGTGTCGTTCAACAAGTCTTTAGAACTCTTGAAAAACAGAGAAAACATCATATTTATTCTTGAGCAAATAAATCCAGATAAACTTGTTATAGTCATCAATGAAACTGACATAATATTTTTTTTCTCCGAAAGAATCTCTAGCATGACCCATACATCCCTGAAAAAGTTCTAAAGAAGCATGAGATACACTATTCGACTTGGGATAAGGGAGTTGGTGACTCTTGGCACATTAACAACCTTCACAAATAGACTCATTAACTGAACTATGTGACAATAAAAGATCGCCTTTATTGACTACTTGTTTAACAATGATCGACGATGGATGTCCTAATCTTTGATGCCACCTTGCCAAAGAGAGCTTGATGACGGAGTAGACTTGACGACGCTTGCGACTAAGTGCTCCGGATGTGATGGGATAGAGACCTCCTTCCTTGGTGGCCGCACCACCCCTCCTTTCCCCATCTTCTCTCCCTCACCTCCATATCTCCTTTCTGCCTAGAGCCGCGGATTCCATTGATCAAAGTCGCGCTCCTATCTTCTTCGTCGTCACCGGTGACCCTGCCTCGCCGCCTTCCTTCGGATTCGCCTCCCTAGCACTTGCCGCGTACGGATCCGGCCCCTGCAAGCTCCAGCCGTCGCCGCCGTACTGCATTGAGCCGCCACGCTGCCGCCAGCTGCTCGAGCAGCCATGTTGACCCGATCCAAAAGTTGTGCTCAAGCGTTGTCTGTGTTCAACATAAAGGATCACGGGTTGAATACTAAAAAGTGTAGGGGCTTTTTGTAAGAACAAAACATTTTCTCTGGGTGGTGCCACTAAAACAGAGACTACGGATTGATTTGATGTAAACCAAGGGGCGTTTTTGTAAAACAACCACGACGGACGGCCAAAAGCAATAGCTGGATTATTAGTGAACCCGGAAACATCCCATATTTGTGAACGGAGGGAATAGCTCCAGAATTTTTCAAAACAACTAGCTCCGGAAACTTTCAACCCTAGCTATCCTCGGCACTTCAAACTGGAGGCGCAGCTATCGTCGGCCCTTAGGTGAGTGGATCTGACAAATGAAATTGGCTGTAGCCCAGTGGCAAGGGTACGCAGTGGGCCAGTGGTACAGTGTTGAATCCTGTCAGGAGCGAATTTCTGGTGCCTCAGCCCAGTGTTAGGAGCACATTTCTGGTGCATCATCCAGATGGGCTTCTTCTATAAAAGTATGTGAAAATTGACGCTTGCTGGCAGACAACTGTAATGGAACGGCACAAAGTAGTACTACCAGGCAAGCACGTCACTAAAATTGCAATCATCTTTCAATAAAGCAGCAGCAGAACCCACAAGTTACCATGACCAGGCAAATGTACATTACTCAGCGAAAGAGCGGCTGAGTTTGATACGACGCGATGCCAAACATTAAAAAGAAAACATAGTAAATCCATTTTTCCCCTTCGACACATCACCAACCGACAAACCCCAAGCTAAAATTATTCACTGCATATATCATGCGGTACGCCAAGCAGATGGATGCAAAGCCCACAGTAGAGCAAACTTAGTCCCAGACGACCAAAATAACAGCATATCAGGGCGGGCTTAGAAACCCTGCTCGACCAGGTAGTCGCCGAGCCTCTCCACGACCAAATTGCACTGGCCAGGAGTCATGGGCTCATCGTAGATACCAAGAATCAGGGCCATGCCGGTCTTCTTGATAGTAATGCCACCGGTGCCCTATAAGAAACATCATGGGAAACATGTAAGAACCAGCTCTTTCTCTTAAGTGAAAAAAACAAATCAACTGCTTCTCTACTCTAGTCCCTGTAACAGAAGTAACTTCATATGGATTTGTGTAAATTAACTGAAATGCACTACGGAATATCAGCAAATAAGTACCACCATATGGTCGACTGGAAACCCACTAATAGATGGTACGCATGCAGGGAAAGATAGAGCAACTACAAGTCATTTAGTCTACACAATACAGGAGGAAATGTGCATGTACGAGCTAACAGATACAAGGCTTGTACATGCTATGGTGTCACAATATTATCAAGCAGCATGAGTTGTCCTGTTTATAATGGATAATGTGTGAGAGCATTCATCTGATGAACGCGCTTGCATTAATTGGGGGGTACAGCGGTATAGTAGCTCCCACAATGAAGTTTAATAACATGTTATTCATAAAACAACCGGTACCAACAGAACAAATTAATTCAATTTGCTGGGCAAAGCTAACATGAGTGTTACAGAGAGAAGTCACAATGCGTTGCGGGCAGTTTCTTTCAAAAGAAAAGTACCTTCTTTCCTCGGATGACAACCCCAGGTTCACCTTGGATGACCATGTACTTTGTGCCTCCAAGGAAAAGACCAGTTGGTGCAAGGTGTCCAGGTTCTTCAAAGTCTTTAACGATGCCAGCAATCTCCTCAGGCTTGAACTGCAGCATCCAGAGCAGAAAACAAAGAAAAGCTCAGATGGAGCAGGCAAAATAAAATATAAAACAGTCATAATAAACATGAGCCCCCACGACACGGTACAATAGGCTTTCATGGTGAATTGTGTATCTTCTGAAACGACAGCATAGTTAACACCAGCACCATACAATACAACGATATGGTACGGCGTGATTTAACCACCAGTCAAAGTGAACCAAGGCAATGCTACATCATTCCTTGACAATAATTTTCCCAGTCGAGCAGTCAAACGATATGAGGCACACCTAGGCAACACAGATTCATGGCCGGAAAGGACACGCGACTCCATAGATCGATGACAGGAGTGCGTTTCTCGTCCAGCAAAGGCAGATTTTACATTTGCAATACCGTGATCCGGTTATCCTTTAGCAGCCACCCCGACTATGAGATTTCTATGAGCTACTCGATCGTAAGTTGAGTAGGGTCACACGGCCGGCTAAGAATCCGATCCCACCGGCGATTCCACCATCTACACATCGTTCAACTCACAGGACGCCTCGTATAATTCGCATCAACAACCCCCCTTCCTGCACACGAATCACCAGCAGCAGCAACCACGGGAAGGGCACCAGGCACCGCCGCAACGGAGGCCACGAGATCCGCGGCTCGGGTCGGCCGAGATCCGGATCTCCCTCGCCTCGGTCCCGATCCGGGCGCGGGGGGCAGATCGCGCGCGGATCTAGCGCGGCGGGTCAACCAGGGTCGAAACGAAACGGAGCGGGCCAGCGGGGAGAGCGGAGGGGGGCCTTTTACCTTGGGGAAGTTGGGGGACTCGGCCCAGACGCTGCCGTCGTGGCCGAGGATGGCGGCGGAGGTGAGGTGCTGGCCGTCGATCTCGCAGCACAGGTGGTCGTCGACGTACGTCTGCCACGACATCCTCCCCCTTCTCCGGCGGCGACTTCTCTGGGCGGCTGCTGCGGCGGATGCTGCGTGGAGCGCACGCGGTCTCGGCTGGGCTGGGGATGCTTTGCTTGGACCTGGATGTGTCGTGCTTTGACGGCTGGCTGGGATGGGGTGGGGGTGGGGGTGGGGTGGGGGAATATATCGGTTGCGTCCGCGTGTGTGTGGGAGGCAGGTCCGGGTGGAAAACCCTACTTTTTCGTTTTGCCTTTTACGTTTTCTCTAGAAACTAGAAATGGAAAAGAATTATTATTGATTTTTGTGGTGGTGAGAGGATTGGAGGAGTGAGATTCGTTTTTTTTTCTTTCTATTTATTATTATTTGAGGAATTTGCTCAAAGTTTACTGTCTGCGTATTTGAATTCCGATCTTACTCTTGATTTGACCTCACCGAAGATGGCGATGATGGATTTGCGGTGGTGACCGGATCGCGATGGCGGCAGAAGGAGAATGTTTAGCTGAAGCGTGCGAAAGAGCGAGGTGGGCGATGGGCCGGGATGGGTGAAATTCGATGGGTGCTTATAGAGGAGGCTGGAGAAAGGACTATAGGACTGTGATACGAAGGAAGACAAAAACAGCAGGTAAGAAAGAGCGGTGTCGGGAAGAAGGAGAGAAAAAGAGTGGTGCGCAAACATAGCGGGCGAAGGTCACCTCCAAGAACAATCATATATTTCTCCCAGCCTCGTTTCCTACACCCCCTCCCCCTTCTTCCTACTTCACTGAGCCATCTCTCTCTCGGATCTGGCGGCTTTGCCATTCGGGGAGGTGAGGGAAAGGGGTCCTCGTGTTGCTTAGTAGCAATAGGTTTAGTATATCCCTTTTCTAAATAAACCAAATATGGTTATCTTCCTCCTTCATTTCATCCCATCCATGGTGGTTGGGATTGAGGACCCGAGAGGGCTTGAAGGGAGCAAACATGAGGCCCTTCGTCGAGCTACAACCAGCGCCTTCTCGGATCCTTGGTGTTGCAGCCTCCTTCCACGCAAGGTAGCCACCATGGAGGTGGTGCCAATTTCGTTGAAGGATTGGTGTTGTTGGTCTCTATATTAGAATCCCTTCTTTTTCTTTTCTTTTCTTATCTGGTTCCTAAGTCTGGATGAGGCTCTACAAGTTCCATGCTTCCAAGGTCATATCGGTGGTGGAGGGGCCATGGGAGAAGGAGAGTATGATTGGGTTCGCGCACAACATCAGTGGCTCTCACGGATAGGCCTTTGCATATGCACTCGTGGTCGATTGCCAATCGTCTTCGTTTCACCATCGAATCTTTTGGCCGAATGGCAGCTTTCTTTCTTCCTCCTGGTTAAGATGCCTAATGAGAGGCAGTGCGGCTCCAGCATGAAGCCCATGGCAAGGTGCCATGGAGGTTTCGTCGTACGAAGTGGTGTCGTCCCAACGACGGGGAGGCTTGGTTTGTGCAGGAGCGTCTTGAGATCCGTTTGCAATCTGCATCAGTTGTTTGTGGTCCTCTTTGTGATCTTCAGGGACCTGTTTGTTAAGGGTCTTGTCGTAAGATGTTGTGCATTATCGTTTTATGTTTGATATAGCATCGGGGTCCTTCTAGACCCTTCTTTTTGCCAAAAAAGAATAGTCGTTTTAATTAACAATAGTTTTCTTTTCATGGGTTAAATGAATTTTAGGTTGGTTTTCATAACCCATTGTGTTTATTACCATGTGTTGTAGAGTTTAGCCCACGTTCACTTGTTATTGTTGTGGTCAAAGATGACTAGGAGTGCGAAGATGAGAAATGTGGCACCCGAGGAAATTTATTACTGTATTTTTGGTGTTATTTAACAGACACTATGTAAAGTTGCGGTGCGAAGATGTGACGGTTGGGGAGGGGTGAGGTGGGGAATATATTAATTGTGCGTGTGGGATGGAGGTCCTCACAAACCATACCTTTTTGTTTTTCCTTTTACCCAGAAAAGAATTATTATTGTTTTTTGTGACAGTGAGAGAATGGAAGGAGTGTGTTTTTTTTCCTTTTTCTTTTTATTCAGAAGTTTGTCGTGCGAATGTTTGAATTCCGGTCTTACTCTCGGTTTGACGCCACCTGAGATGATGATGGTGGGTTGTGATGGATTGGTGGTGATGGATCTTGATGACAGCACAAGGAGGACGTTAAAGTGGCGAAGGAGCGAAGTGGTTGACGGGTCGAGATAGATGAAATTTGGTGGATGCCCATGGAGGACGCAGGAGAACGGAGTTTAGGGGTGCGATACGAGAAGGAAGAACAAATAAGTAGGTGCGGAAGAGCATCGTCGGGAAGAAGAAGAAGAGTAGAACTGTAGAAGGGTCGGGCACAAACATAGGGGACGAAGGTCGCCTCCAAGAACCATCTTTTTGATTTACAATTGTCGGGGGTTGGGTGCGACATATGCCAAAGGATGGCTTATCATGGTGGGGGTGAGTAGAGTGTCGCCGGTGCCTGGAAACGGGATGAGGCGTACACATGCACGCCGGCGAATCTTACCTAGCTTCAGGGCTCTCCGGGGAGATAATACCCCTACTGCTGCTCTACGGGGTCTCCGCATGATCACTATGGCAAAGTGTTTACACGATTGCTCCTTGAGCTGTTTCCTGGAGATAGGAGAGGGCAAGGCTAGCTCTCTCCCTCCTATATGATCTGGTCTAGAGCTAATGGATTCCAACCCTTTGCATGGGTGCCCTGGGGGGTTTATATAGGCCTACCCCCAGGGGTACAATGGTAATCTGGCTGGACGCGGGCCCAGTCGTCAGTGCCTCCGGCCTCCGTCTTCTCCGCCGACTGCTGGGGCCTGCCGACTGGTGGGCCCCGCCGACTGGCTAGGTATGGAGCCGACAGGCCGCGTCCGCCACGGGCGGGTCTTGCCGGCTGCTGATCACTGTAGCCGTGCTTCTGATGACGCGGGCTTGCTCATGGAGTCGTGGCAACAGCCCCGCCGCCTGGCGGGCGATCACTATTGCCACTCTCCGTCACATCTGATTAATGGCGTGTGGGCCCTGGGGGAAGATCTGGCCGATTCTCGGGGACTAACTAGTGGTGCACTTGCCGTCTCCTGGGGTCCCACTGGCTGGTGGGACCCGCCGCCCCAGGGTCGTACAGACAAGCCGTCGTGGGCGCAGGATTCGGTCCTTTGGTGCTGATGTCAGGGCCGGCACGGCAACAGTGCCACGCCGCACGGAGATCTTCTCGGGTACGGCGTGCTGTGGCCATGCCTGCCCCTGGTAAAGGGCGGGAGCGGATTTACTGTAGCCACTCCCCGGTCCTGTCCCTCCTGATGAGGATATGGGGTTCGTTGGAGTCGCGGTCCGACTCCCCGAGGTCGGCTTCTTGGGAAGTCAGCAGTCAGGAGTCGGCTTAGCCTGAAGTCGTTCCCGGGACTCGGTCGGGCCAGTCTGCCAGCCTGCGTGCGTGACGGGACAGGCCCGTAGGAGGGGCCCGCCATTACCGCGCCTCGGCGCTCGAGCGGATCCGCTGTGGCCCGAGCGGATGGTTGGGATTCTTGTGAAATTACTGCGCGCAATAACTTTGTCGTGGAAACATGGGGTCATGGGGTCGTGGGCGCAGTAAATCCCACGACCGCCCCCTCGGCTTCGCACCCCTTGAGGCTATAAGTAGGGGTAGGAGGGGGCGGCAGAGCACGCACGCCCCTCCTTCCCACTACTCCTTGCTCTTCTCCTTCTTCTTCTTCCTCGCTCCGCCGCGCGCCCAAGCTTTTGCCGAACGCCGCAGCGATCAGCTCTTGATGAGTTCTTCTTCTGCCGCCGCGCCTCCCTCGGTGCATTCCGGCACCTGGGACGGCTCAGAAGTTCACGACGACCACATCGAGTTCCTCCGCAAGACTCGTCGGCTCCCCAGCGAAGATTACGTGCGGGTGCGTCTTGCGCCGAGGGGGGAGATTTCCCCAGCGCTGGAGGAGGGCGAGCGGGTCATCTTTCGTTCGCACTACCTGCGCGGACTGGGGCTGCCGGCGAGCAGCTTCTTCCGCTCTTTTCTGGAGTTTTACGGCCTCCAGCCGCACCACCTCACACCCAACACGGTGGTGCTGCTGTCCCCTTCGTGGCCTTGTGTGAAGGCTTCCTCGGAGTCCTCCCCACCCTCGAGCTCTGGGGGAAGTTCTTCTACTCCAAGCTCGGCACACAGGCTGCAGGTGCGCCGGCTCAATGCGGCGCGTTCATCACCGTGCGGAGATCAGGGGTCGACAACCCCTTCCCCACCATCAAGCTGATAAAGTCGGTGAAGATGTGGCAGCGATCGTACTTCTATGTCAAGAGCGTCTTTGCGAGGGGTGATTGGGTCAACCTGCCAGCTTTCGAAGCCGGCCCGTCAGCTGGGGGCTGCCCAACTGGTCGTACCGGGCCAAGTCGTTGACGCCTGCGGGAGCCGGCGCCGTCGCGTGACTCCGAGTGCTGACGCAGTCGGAGGGCTTGACTGGTCCAGACCCGCTGGCCGCCTTCCTGGCGCACCGAGTTCTCCCGCTCCAAGGTCGCCCCCACATGATATGCCAAATGAGCGGGCACCGCGACCCGAGTCGGATGTGCACCAAGGACATGCCTCACGAGGAGGTGGCCTATATGGTGAACTACCTCTCGGACAGCAAGCTCCTGGAGGACTGGCGGTTTGGCAAGGAGCCGTACTCCCACGCCAACCCCCCACCCATAGTGAGTTGCCTTTTCTTTCTTTTTTTGGATTGTCTTCTTTCTTGCCGAGTTTGTTTTGTGCGGCCTGACCAGTCGGCTTTGGTCAGAATCCCCTCCTCCATCCACCAGCCGGCACCACGGGGCCGGCCCGCGAGTTCCTTGCCGACCGGGCAGAGAGCGACGTCGACGACCCCGATCTGGGGGCGGCGGCTTTGGTAGACGACGTGGAGGGAGGAGGCGGCCCGCGGCTCAGGGCCAGCCCAAAGGACTGGCCTGATGATGAGGAGGAGGTCGCCCCCCGCCATCGGCCAGGAGCCAGCCACCCCGGCGCGGGCTCTTCTGCCGCGCCGGGTGCTC